AGGGCTGTGCCAGAGTCCTCTCCTTTGTCAACTTCTGTCCTTTTCTTCTTCTTTGGCAGTAAAAGCAGTCCAGCGCCTCTCCATGGTCACCCTGGAGCCTTTGAAAGGGGCCGATGGCAGCAGGGAGTCACCCTCCACCAGCATTGGGGGACAAGCCAGCCTTCCTTCAGCTCCGTCCCTTGCCTTTGTCAAGGGGCAATGCATGCTCATCTCACGGGCCCGCTTTGAGGCAGACATCGGTTATTCAGAGGACTTGATTGCACTGTTTAAACAAATGGATTCCAGAAAATACGGTGCGTAATTGGTCTCTGTCTGATTCCCAGGATGTATAGTGGTCAATGATCTCAGGATAGGGTGTTTTACGTTATCTTTGAATATTCAAAAATGACTTCCTGGTCTGCTTCTCTTCCCTTGTTCCAGACAGCAAACACATAGTGGGGCTGTTTTGTTGTTAAGGCTTCCCAAAGAGAAGGCCCCACAATTTTCCCCATCAACTTGGTCTGTGTCTTGGTAGAAGCAGGTAAATTCCTACTTCAGTTATTTAAACCCATCTGTTTTTATTTTGGCCTTAGCAGAGCAGAAAAACAGGTTGTTATCATAAAAATAAATAAATTTAGACAGTGGTTTTCAAACTCTGAGGGTTCATGGGAACCGCCTGGAGGGCTTGTTAAAAGGCAGACTGCTGGGCCCCACTGGCAGAGCTTATGATTCAGAAGCTCTAGGGTGGGGCCCCAAATTGGCTTTTCTCACAAGTTCCCTGGTGCTGTGGCTGCTGGTGACAGGCCCATTGTCTGAAAACACTGGTGGTTCCCCACTCTGGCTGCTCCTTGGCGGCACTGGCTACTGCAAAAACACTGGTGCCTGGTTTTCACCCAGAAAGGCTGGTTTATTTGGTCCTAGGTGGGGCCTAGGCATTGGTATTTTAAAAAGTCTTCAGATGAGCCTAATTATTAACTAGGCTTGAAAATCACTGGCCAAAGCGATAGTTTGGCTTTATTTTTTGTGAGACTCTTCAAAAGCTCCCTGGTCAGAAGTGGCTTTAGAAATCTGGGCTCCTGGGTTTCATTTTTAGCTCGGGTCACATTGTTGTTAAAAACTACCTGGCTTTTGTGGGTGGATGTTCCCGTTCTTGAAATGGTTTTAGTCTTTTCCTTAGGCAAGTAGAAATCAAACCCTTAAAACCTCATGCCTTTGAGACATCACATTCGGACAACATCATGGAAGAAGCCCCCAGCATTACTTGCTCAACAGGAGCTCTCCTCAGGGCTTGGCCCCCTTCAGGATGAGGGTGATGCTCTTATGTGACCATCCCTTAGATGGACACAGTTGTAACTGATAAGAGCAGGGTATGGGTGAGCTATGCTAGGCCAGCCTGGGCATGAGATGAGCTGCGCACATGAGGGCCAGGATCCTTTGCTCCCTGTCCCCTCTTCTGTCCCGCTTAAGCTTGGACTGGCCCTTAAAGATAAACACGATGATCTTTGTCTATCACCAGGCTTTGAGATCACCCTCCTGATGTGGTCTGCTGTTTTGGGAGCAGGTACAGTGAAAATACTGATCCCTGATCCTGCTCACACCCAGACGCCCACAAACCATGACTGGATTCTTTGCCGCCCCTCGCATTTGTAGCTTTCCCATTGGCCACCCTGCCACTGTCAGAATCAAGCTGTTGTCTCGGTGCTAGTCCTACATTCGAGATTAGCCTGCTTTTGTTCCTCCCTCAGGTTAACCCTGGACTTCCTTACTTTTTCCCAAAACCGACTCCCTATGTCCATAGTGCTTCTTTCCCACCACCTTGATTTTGAAATGACCACACAGCACAGAATTAACTTTTGCTGCCCAGCTAGTGTTTATCAAGACCAAGCTTTCTTGATTTTCTCAAAAGGTGGATTAGTAGAGAAACTCCTCTATTTAAATAATGAGCCACTGGTGGGTAGTAAGTTGCTCCACTTTCTTAAGTTAATATTGTGTGTAATTTCTACTACATTGTACTAATTAGCAGATGACATAATTATAACAACAGTAATTCATAACTAGCTTTTTTTTTTTGAATGCTCCTTGTTTTCCAGATATACTTTTATAGACATCTTACATTCGGTTTTCACGTAATCCTCACAGTAACCCTGTGAGGAAGGGGCTGTAGTATCCTTATTTTCCAGATGTGAAACTGAGGCACAAAGATGTCACATAACTTGCCTGAGGTCACACAGCCAGTGAGAGGCAGAGCTGGGATTTGCACATAGGTAGTTTGACCACTGACCACACGCAGCTTGTTTCCCACGTATATCAGGGAGCTGTTACCACAGCCCATATCACAGAGGTGTGGGGGGCAGCTGAGGTGGTGTGAGTGACTCTCCTGGCACAGTGCCTGACATAGAGTGAGTGCCGGGTGATCATGGAAGCTACAGTTATCATCCCTGTCTTGGACGTTCGGGGCGTTTCTGACCTGCTGTGCCATTCTAGTCATGTCTGCCTGTAACACCTTTTATCACAACCCTTACAACCCAGTGTTGTCACCATCTCTGCCTGTTTCTCCTCCCGGCATACCGTGGAAACTTCAAGAGGGCAAGTACTCAATCTTATTACTGTATCCCTGGTGCCAGGTACAGGGCCTGCCACATTGTCCAGGCTTAACGTAAGTTTCTGAAGCCAGGGAATGAAGGAGTCAGTGCGATGACATAGCGAGAGGGCAGGGTGTCCCGTTTGCTTATGAATTTCTTCTCATTGCAGATGTCAAGACCAGGAAGTGGAGCTTTCTCTTAGAAGAACACAATAAACTAAGTGAGAAGCCTTCCTTGCCTGTTTTATATCATGCTATTATTAAGTTTTAATAATCTGCCTTAAATTTAATGTATTGTCAAACAATCTCCTCCTTCCTCTCCTGTGGTAACTTCAGATGCAGGGTAAGTACAGGGTAAGTAAAGGTGGGGATGTTCTTGGGCAGCCTCATCTGTGACCACTGAGACAATGGCTTTGTGACAGCCCACTTGAACGCAGGACCTCTTCTTCCACAAGGGTGAGGCAGTACTAGTAATCCTGCCTTGATAGAAGTCTTAGAAGTGAGGGTTTGTGGACTTTGGAAATCAGAGGTGAGCTGGGATTGCTTAGCTTAGATGGAAGCTGCGCATTCTCCTAAGATGACCTCTGAGAGCAGGCTCTCAATTTACTTCTAGAGCTAGATGATCAAGAAAGGCAGAGTCATGAGTAATGGGCTGAGTTCTGTCAGGTGCAGAGGTCAAGGCCAGGGGACTCAAGCATTTTAACAAACACTTTGAGAATGACCAAGGGAAGGGGGTATGTGTACAGATAACTGTAATAAGAAGTAGTCAGTTTTGGTTTATCATTTTCTTCTGTATGTTCTGCTTAGATGGGGCGATCTATTTCTAATATGCCTGGAAAAGGAGGACATGGCCATATCTCAGCCTGTCCCGGAATACCGGTCCCTCATCCATCTGGCTGTAACGATTCTGCATTGGGTACGAGGCTGGCACAGCTAGGTCTCTCCTGCTTGACGGCTGAGGACTTACTGGGCCTCCCAGGTGGAGGGAGGAGTCATTCGTTGGTACCAGTCAGGCCTGGAGAGACATGATCCAACCCTGGGAGCTCTGAGTCCTTAGATGTCTTGCCCATCAGGCTAGGGCTTTAAGAAAGAGGTTGAAAACCTGGGTTCTTTCCCTTTGTCTCCTTATGTGACCTCCTGTGTGACATTGGGTAGGTAATTCAACACTCCAGGTCCCATTTGTCCCTTCAGTTAAAAAAAAAAGGGGGCAGGGGGAAGATGTTTAATCCCTGTCTTCTCTGTTGACATAGGAATTACATAAAAAGGAAGGGCTTTGATTCCTTGAGCAAAACTTGCTGTGAACTACAAGATTAGGTTTGGCTAGGAGATGGTGCTGAGTATCAGTAAATGCTGGCTAAAGCAGAAAGGTTAGCTCAGGTTGATCTGGAGACTATGGCTGCTGCTATTTGGAATTTGTGATTCAGGAGGAACTATTTGGTCAAAGCTGAATTTTTGATGAGAAATAGGAGTTCTTTCCTTTTCACTTCTTTGTCTTTCAACCAAGAAACTCATAAATATGTCAGCTATAAAGGTGTTGACTTTTACGGAACAACAAAAAGCAAGATACTTACAGCATTAACAGATGAATGTAATGTTGAAAATCTATGACTTATGACTCATCCATACAGCATTATGTAACGGTTCCTAATCTTTTGTGGACCATAGACTCCTTGAAATATCGCATGAAAACAATGGATTCTTCACCCAGAAAAAAATGCACATAATGGCCATATATAAAATTTTGCACTTGATATTAATGATTCCACAGACCCTGAGCAAAGAGTTTTATTAATGGATTTAGTTTTTACATGCTATCTCGTCTTTACCGTGTCTCATGGAAGGTAAGACTGATCCTCCCCATTTCATAGATTGGAAAAAGCTTGAGTCCAAAGCTTTCCTTATTGGGAGCTTCACAGGGTCACAGTAAAGTCAGTGACAGAAATAAGAATAAAATTGCCATCTGTGTTTGTAACCTGACCCATTATCAAATTTAGAAGCAGCTCCGTGAAGTAAGAAGCCAAAGAGGGAGGGCACTGCGGAATACAGTCCCGTTTCCTGGGCAGTGGGCTCCTCTCGCTTCACCCCGAGGTCGCCTTTCTCATGTGTGAAATTAGATTATTGACCCCAAGCTAGTGAACGCGTACATATGAGAATGTCAGTGAGACTTGAGTACACGAATCCTCATTGATGAAGTAGTGAGAATCATTTTCTCTAGTAAGGCGAATCTAAGCACTTTCCTCCCCTCTCTTTTCTAAGTGTTGTGGGGACTTTTGTCCCAGTGAAATTGGCATAAGGCCTTTTGTTTTCCCCTGGCTGTCACAGTCCAGAAGGGCTCTCAACAATCTTGTCTTGTCAGCTGCTATTTGAAAACATTAGCATCTCTGCTGTGTGGCTAGTAGCATTCTGCCAAAGAGCTATTTTACAGAAATGACTTCTAGATGACTCATGAAGCTAGACAGCATGCCTGTCATCTCCCAGTAGCAAGGAAATGACAGTAGAGACAGATGTTGACAGGGAATGGTAGCTTTCTCAAACACACAGTTGGCTGAACTAGCAGCCTAGGATCTTGGAGATAGTTGGTAGGAGACATAGTGGATGTTGGTTTTATTCCTCTTAAATGGCTGAAAGAGCATAATGCTTACAAAGCACTGCATTTTACACCAGCCAGATCATCAGCCCTTTCTTAGCTTTCATGAAGTATTTGAGTTCTGAAGATCAGTAGGATTAAAATGAAAATGGTTTCTGAAAGCACATAGAGTGCTCAGTCTCCTGAAGTGTGCAGAAATCAGCATGCTCAGATTTAATTTGGAGGTATAAAACGTATTTCTGCATCAGTATGGACAGTCTATTTTATATTAAAGCTGTCAACCTTACCTAATTTCCTCTCATGGTGATTCTGTTCATAGAAACTGTTTCCAGAAATAACTGGTACTTATATTTAGTGAAGGGCAGAAATTGATTTAAATATATTGAAAATACAAAGCAATTGGAGGTAGCAGCAGATAGCTTTGTCCTGCGTATGCACATCAGTATTTGCAGTGGTAACCAACTGATGGTTGTAGCAAAAGACTTTTGGAAGACCTTGTGAGGATGTTAAGAAAACATAGGATCACACATGACCATATGGAATAGAGAACCAACAACCTTAGAATTTCAAATAATATTGGGTAGAAATAAATACACCCAGTTTTTCCTTTTTTTTTTTTTTTTTTTTTACTGGATATCTGAGGACAATTAGCCTCTTGGTGGGTTACTCTGACTCCCGAGAGCGCTATTAAAAAGGAAAAGGATAAAGAGCGATTGAAAATCTGTAAATAATAGTTGCTCTTCTAATTAGGTTTTTCAAAGGAAAATGATAAATGGGAAGAACATCTTGAAAGTTACAGCCCACAGGACAGCTGTGATTTGTAATTTAATAATTCTACTACCAGGGATCTCTAGGTCTGTCATCTTTTCTCTAAGTTTTTTACTTTTAATTCATCTCCCTCACCCCTGATAATTATGTTCTATTAATTCTTTTCTGTTTCTCTATTGAGTAAAGTTTTTTTTCTTTTCTCTTTTTTAAATTTTAAAACCAGGTGAGACTAAGTTCTTTCAAAAAGCAAGGTCAGTGCCACTAATTTGTTTTCATTTCCATGTAGATCCCAAGTAATTTATTTCTCCCACTGGGGTGAATGGCCCTAACTAAAACATTTCTCCATCGTATAGGGATCTAGGACCAGCACACTTGGAAGGAAAGTAAAGGCTGCTAAATGTAAATTGAAAGAGTCTGAGTAATGGTCACTCTAATAGTTTAGATTCTAAGCTTAGCAGGCGTTGGTAAACTTTTTTTATAAAGGGCCAAATAGTATTAATAAATATTTTAGGCTTTGTGGGCCATGCAGTCTCTATCCCAACGGCTCTCAGCTCTGCCATTGTAATATGAAAGCAGCCGGACACAGTCCGTAAATGAATGGCATAGCTGTGCTCCAGTAAAACTTTATTGAAAAACAGGCAGGAGGCCAATTTGGCCCACAAGCTTTAGACTGCTCATGTCTGCATTAGAGAATAGGTAAGGAGCTAGCAAGGAACATCCAGATACAGGATTTTTTAGCTTCTTTACCACAGAAATCAGTCCTATAAAACTCACTTCTCTCAAGGGGAGATATTTATTCTTTTATGTAAAGGGCCAAAAATGTACTTTTTTATCAGTTTGTGGCTTTCGCATAGACTCTGCCTTTTGTTGTTTTTAAACAGCACTACCGTCCTACCTATCTTCTTGGAAACACCTAACAGCTTCTCCATACAGAGCAGAGTGTTTCCTTGCCTTTTGAAAGTTGAGCACTTGGAGTTCTCTGCCTCCTCAAACATCAAAACCATCAAAATAAAACATAAGGAGAATGAAAACAAGACAAAATTTATTCTAAGACTTGCTTTTTCATGGGTCTTTCTGGACTGATTTTTTTAAAGAATATGGGTCCTTATTTTTTGAATGGGAATACTGAGATAACTTTTTAAATTTCTTTAGGGTAAAAAAAAAAAATCAGTCACAAAAATACATTTCTTTCCAGTGTTTGTGTATTATAGCAAATCAATTTGGCATTATTGCTTGCCTCTTATTTGCAGAAATTAAGGAATAGAGAAGGAAATTAGTTGTCTAAGTTAATGTACTTTGCCTAGGATGTAACTGTCAGCCCCTGATTTTCTCTCTAGTTGACCTTTTTGAGAAGATGGGGTGAAGCAGAATTTCAGTTATTGAACTGTGTTATCTCAAAGCCCTTTTTCTTTCCCCAGAGTAGGAGTGAACACTCCAGCTCATACACCTCTGTTCTTTCCAGTTGAAAGGGTACGCGACAACCTTCCACAAGTTCAGCTGGATCCCCTGCCCAAAACGCTCACCCTGGCTTTTGCTTCTCAGCTGGTGAAGACATCTCTTCATCCCACGGCAGATGTCCCAGAGGCAGACCTTTCTGAAGTGGACCCCAAGCTCGTGTTCAATCTGATGCCCTTTCAGAGAGCTGGCGTCAAGTAGGTTCTTGATCTTCCTCTCACCTTCCCTTCTCTTGCGTGAATTTCATCACTCCCCTCAAGCTGGGTTCAGGTGCTTCCCCTTTTATGAACTCTCATCTTCCACAAATACCTGGAAGAATCTAAGCATTAAACAGCCAGGTGTGCTGTTACCAAAGCCTCATTGTAACCATTGATTTCAAATTCCATGGGTTAACCAGGACTCTGATTGCAGGTATGCAGAAATCCCATTTAAACTAGCTTAATGAAAGAGGTTTCTCAGTGCATGTTGTAGAAAATCCAACATCTCTTAAGATCTCATGAGGACTCTCCCTCTCTCAGCTCTTCTTAGTTTGCTCTGTTCTCAGCCAGGTGCTCCTCAAGTGTGGCAACTAAGGCTGCCAGGGGCTTCCAGCTGTCAGTCCATCAGCTTAGCAACTACAGAAGCACTTTTTTCCTGATGAGTTTGACACTGCAATGGCTTAAGTCTGGTGCTGACATCGGAGCCAGTCACTGTGGCCTTGGAGGCTTAAAGTCTTGTTGGTTAGACTGGGTGATAAGCTCATCCCTGAAGCCAGTGGCAAGGGCCTATCCCCCAAAATACTTCGGCTGAGAGTGGGAGGTGGTGGCTCTCCAAAAGAAACTCAGGGTGCTCTTAGACAGAAAAAAGATAAACTCGTGTCATGACCTGTCCTTGTTTTCCACAGTTTCTTGGGAGAAGCAAAATGCTAGGTTTGAAGTTGCCTTCTCTTGAAAATGCAGTAGTTCAAGGAGAGGAAAGAGGAAGTCTTGATAGTCCGTCTAGAGATAATGTGTGTTAGAGCTGTTATTAGGCAGTGTGGTTGCAGACAGAGTCCTCTGCAGGGGGTGGAACCTGAGTTATTAATATCAACGGAGCTGACAAACGGAGATGGCCTGCCTGCCCGAGACCTGTTTGTGGTATTTGGCAGCAGTTTGGCTGCTGTCTCAGGCAGGATTCTGGTCTGGGTGCCATTGGGGCACAGCATGCTGTACTGTGTCCCTGTGGCCCCAGCCCTGCCTGTTACTCTTATCTCCCTTTCTCTCCTATCTCTCTAGAGAGTGCACTTTACAAAACGTCACCTTGCTTTGCCATTTCAGTCCTTCATCTGTTGAGATGTCCTTTGTGCCTTGTTTTAACCAGGCTCAGGGTGGTTTAGTTCTTGTCACCATACCTTCTGATGAGAAGAGGTTCTATTCTGTTTTTGCTGTGCGAGACGGAAAAGAAAAAGAGCTATGCGACTGGCTTATTAGCAGGTTCCTGAGCAAATGTTCAGTTTTTCAGGAATCCATGGAAAGAGGACTAGGGTTTGGCACAGGGCACCAGACATCTGGCACTCGGGGTCCTTTTTGCTTTTTTCCACTGATTCCTCATGCGACTCGAGCAAGTCGTTTTCACTGTTTGTGTCTTGATTATTTTTCTTTTTGTGGAATAGTAGTTAGGATAGAAGCACTTCCTTAGCGCTTACGATGGTGCCAAGCATTGTTTTCAGTGCTGTGTGTATTAACTTTGTTCATCTTCCCACAACGCTGTGAGGCAGGTCCCTGCTGACTGCTGAGGGCTGAGGCAGAGTGAGGTGAGGTGACGTGCAGGAAGGAGCGCAGCTGTGGAGTGGGGAGCTGGGCCTCCAACATAGTGCGGTGCACCCTTCTTCATCGGCTGTTACCCGGGGTTGTTGCACTTCAAGGGCTTTAGGATCCTGGGGCTGCCAGGGAGTGAAGAACTCGATGCTGAGGTTGGGGCTCCCTCTCCCTTGCTCCCCTTCTTTCCTGTGTCTGTCCTCTTCAGCATTTTCTGTCTCTGCCAGCTCCGTCCCTTTGCCTTTCTGTGTACTGAGCACTCTCTGATCTTCAGAAAAGCCTCGTTTTTGCCCCACCAACTCTGCTTTCCTTCCTTCCTTTCCAGGAGGACTCTCAGTAAGTGGGTGCTCCCCTCCGCAGCCCCTGGCTGTGGGCTGCCCCCCATGCCACTCCGTCCACACCCCCTGGGCCTTGCCTGCGTTAGGCTGAGGCTGACACTGACTCCTCTTACTGGAAACGTCCTCCCTTGGCTTCCGTGACCTAAAGATCTTCTAGATCTTTGCCCCACCTTTTGGCCACCATTTCACATTTTCCCTGTTTGACCTGCTCTTTTTCTTGTTTTATTTGCCTCCTAACTGGCTCCTGCTCCTTCCTCTTTGGGGAGCGAGTCTGGTGGTGGGCAGGCCTGCGCTGGCCAGTGCAGTGCCTACCTGCTGCACGGGGGGGCCGAGCAAAGCCCCTGGGAAACGTGCTGTGCTGTTGCCTGTGCTGTTGTCCTCACCGTGTCTGCTTTCAGTTTTGCCATAGCAAAAGGAGGCCGCCTGCTGCTTGCCGATGACATGGGCCTGGGGAAGACCATCCAAGCTATCTGCATAGCAGCCTTCTACCGGAAGGAGTGGCCACTCCTGGTGGTGGTACCTTCCTCTGTGCGCTTCACCTGGGAGCAGGTTAATTCTCTTTGTATTGTGATTTTCGCAGAGAAGGTTTTCCCCAATGTCAGAGCAATGAAATAATTGGAGACAGGGCCTGGGGGTCTTTAAGGATCTGTCTCAGGTAAGGGCAGGGGGAGAGATGAGGTAGCCCCCTGAGGGCAGGCTCATGGTTTTCTGAATTAGAATCAGGCTATACCTTTGGGGAAGAAAGCCAGGTAGTTACCAGCCTGGAGACTTACCTCCTCCTGTTAGCAGACACTTCCGGTACCTCTGTGTCCCTGCTAATAATACCTTTTTTCTGTAGCATACTTCATTTTCAAAATATTTTTACCTCCTTTATTTTCCTTAATCCCGTAATAGCCATGTGCAGTAGACACAATAGATAGTAACCTGATTTATAGATGAGAAAGCTGCATCTCACAGAGGTTAAGGCCGTGCTTCATGCTAGTGAGGAGCCGCCGTCCAGGACCTTGAATGGCCTCTCCTGACGTCCTGGCTCCGAGGTTTTGCACTCCGTAGAGGGTGGTGTGCGTAGGATGTTCACTGTCTGCCAGGTAACTTGATGGGTGAAGAACCTGACATGAGCACTGTCTTATCACTCACCCTTGAGCTCTTTCTACTATAAATCCAGGAATCAGAGTGGTTTTGTGAAATGAGTAAAAATCCGTATGAGCAGACTGAGAAGAAGAAGACCTAATCCATTTCCATAGCTTTTTCTAGCTTTATGCTACTGAGGTCGGCCTTTGGCCTCCTCACAGCTGGGCTTCTTCCTAAGGCCTCCACGAGCCACTTGTGGAGAAGAGGCAGCTCCACCTGCTCCTGGTCAGCCTGATGCCCAGACATGCCGTTCTAAGTGAAGAAAACAGTGAAGAAAAGGCAAAAAACCTAAAAAATGTTATCAAAACAATACTTTGTTCTTTTTCTGTCCTTGAGATCTGAATTCTGCCAATGCCTGTAGAAAGTAGTTATTCAATGCATATTTTGTGTGTTAGATTCCTACAGCACCCTCAGAAATTGGAGGCAAGAGTCAGATAGTCAGACGGTTACCCGTGTTCCCTGTGTCAGACCAGTGTCAGCCTGGGCAGGATGGGGCAGCACCCAGATGCCCGGGCACTGCCGTGGAGCCACCCTGGTGGCCTTCCACTGGCTGCAGGCACTGGGTTTGGCTAGAAAGGGTAAGAATGCTAGAGAGAGAGAAGGTAGATTTGGATTTGTAGAAATAGTGACATAAATGTTTTCATCATCATCATCAATAAACACTTACAGTTGCCTTCAGTGTACCAGGCTTTGCTAAGTTCTTTATAACATTCCTTTTAAAGAGAGTCCATTCTTTCCCAGTAGAAACTTGCTGTCTAGTTAGAGATCACAGCACTGAGACCCACAGACGTCATGAAGTGATTGCCAACCAAGGAAGGGAGTGTCCTGTCAGGGGCACATGAAGGGGGTGGGTGGGTGAGAGGAAGGTGTAGGTGATGGCTGTTCATGGCCACGAGGACTACCGTGGATACAGGAGGACATGGTGGGAGAGAGACCGTGTTTTTTCTTCAGGGAGTGTGACTATTGGTCCATGCTGAGAGTGTGCTCTTGGTGGGTTGGCTGGGGTCATGACCACAGCTGCTGTGCCAGGTCGTCATTGTGGTTTTGTTCTTCCCTGTCATCCACAGGCCTTTCTTCGGTGGCTGCCATCTCTGAGCCCAGAAGACATCAACGTCGTGGTGACCGGGAAGGACCACTTGAGAGCTGGCTTGGTCAACATTGTCAGTTTTGACCTGCTTAGCAAGTTGGAAAAACAGCTAAAGCTAAAAACCCCTTTTAAAGTTGTCATCATTGTAAGTGACTTGGCAAAGTCTCTTAAGTATTTTATCTCTCTGGAAACTTTCTTCTCAAAAACTCCAAGAACTTGCATATCCATAATCTCATTGAGCCTCACTTAGTTTCTAGGAGAATAGAAATCACTTTCTTTGTTTTATGGGGAACTGGCATTTCGTTTGTCTCAAATAGCCATTTGCAATCCTGGCTACAGATTAGAATCTCCTGGAGAGCTTTTTAAAAAATGTGATTTAATAGGGTCTTTGCTGGGGGTTTCTAGCCCACCTCTTCCCCACTGTGGGGTCATGGGTGGGACCATCCCGTGGACCCCAGACAACCTAGGACTTCTACAGCCTGGACGGCAAGGGGGTGTGCCTGCGTCTGGTGCCATCTTGTCAGGGTGGCTGAGACATGCAGTTCAAATAATAAAGCTTTCTTTTAGGCAGTATGAAGATACCTCCCTTCTTCCCTCCCAAAAGGACTTTCTATTCTAGTTGCTTTTTTAAAGAAGGCTTTACTGGAGTCCTGCTGCCAGATTTGACAGCACATCTCAGTTACTGGCTTTCCTTTTAACTCTTCATATACTTCCTAAGGAAAGTCTAGACAGACTTGGTTTCCTGTCAGTACTGAATGTGTCAACATAGTTCACAAAAATATTGTAGGAGCTTAGAGAAGGGAAGGAGAAGATACAGTTACTGACCTCAGGGGATCTATTATTATGTTTTGGACTAAGAACCACACTGTGTTCTTAGCATAAGCAGACTAAGTGTTTACAATTTTTCAAAGCTATACAGGTAATGAGTCTTTGGTGGAGTCATTTCTGGTTTGGCACAAATTCAGGTATGGCTTTGAAAAGATGTCAGCATACATGTGAAATGAAAACATCAAAAGAAGTTTCCCAGGATGATAATGATTGCTCTAGAGTGTGTGGGAAGAGTAATGCCTCCATTTCTTGAGTGTTACCTTGTATTAGGTACTTAAATATAATCACTGATCTTCCCAATGGCCCCTGAGCAGGTATTTTCCTTTATCCTTGTGAATTATCCATTTCACAGCTGATGAAACTGACAATGAGAGTGGGTACATAATTTGCCATAGGCAGAAAGCCAGCAAGTTGGAGAGTTATTGATTAAAACTAGGTTGCAACTGCCTTCAGAATTCCTGTTTTTCTGTTCTGACCCATCACTTAACCTGCCATATGATTTTTGGCAAGCCACTTACTACCAGTGTTGGTTTGTTCTTCAGTTAAATAAGAGCCCTGTCCCCCTGTTTTTGAAGAAACGTTATAGGAAGGAATAGAGTCATGGCTCTGAGGTGTCACACTTCTTAGAAGCTTCAGTATCAAGCTATTCTTTGTGATTTGCTCCGATATTGGCACATTTTTCAGTGATTGAAAGAGTCTATTCCACTTCCAACACCTTTTTCTGGACTGTCATCAGGGCACATCATCAGATAAGCATACAAATATAACACCCAGGCTTCTGGGACTAGATACTGTCTTGACGTTTGGGGATTATCTCACACTCCCCTTTGTTGTGGTCTCGAGGCCCTTTTTGTTCATCATAGCTGAAAGAGAACAGAGGATTTCTTCCAGATCGGCTTCGGGGACAGAGGCGGGATCTCACTGGTATCCCTCAGTTATAGGGTGGCACATGCCAGGAGTACTTACTAAGTGGCAGGACTGTTCTAAGGACTTTGTGTGTGTTAGCCCATTTAAGACCCCCAGCAACTCAACACACTGGGAACTGTAAAATGGGAAAATTAAACCCATTAGGAGAAACTGGCATTGTAGAAAGGTCAACTAGTTGCTCAGAGTCACGTAGCCAGGAATTTGAATGTGTACCAAACTGTATTTCCCCCAAAATACTAATAATGTATTTAGTAACTCATTTGGCTTTAGAAAATATGAGAAGTTTTGTGTTTGCTTATGCACAGAATGCAGACTGTAAATAATCAGACTCTGTTCTAAATATAATAGTCCCTTGAGAACAAGAATCATCACATCATCATCTTTCCGTTTCTCAGTTCCCGCAGAACTTTGTTTGCACCCACTTCAGTGACATGTTAATAACACTGTCTGCTAGGCTGTCAGCGTGTCTGACATCTTCCCGCAGGGGCCGGACCCCCAGGCTTCACACTACTGCGGAGCCTGCCACGGGTCTTCAGCACACTTTACTCCAGTGCCACACAGGTGCAAGGTGCCTCCTACAGAGCAGCAAACCACCTTTCAATGGTTTGCTCATCCAAGCAGCCTCTGATGTTAGGCAGGGGAGGGATTCACTAGCCCTACTTTACAGGTGGAAACTGTCCCCAGAGATGAAGCAACTTGCCAAGAATGTAGTAGAGAAGCTGCCACCAGAGCTCTGGGTCCTTACGTAGGCCCATGAAAGTGCTAAGGGAGGCATCCACATTGCGTGTACCTTGCCAGGGTCAACCTGAAGGTGGGCTCTGTCTCTGCCACTCAGGACGGGGCCTTGTTCACCTACGTGGCTGTTTCTTTTCAGGATGAATCTCACTTCCTCAAAAACAGTAAGACTGGCCGCTGCCGAGCAGCTCTGCCCCTCCTAAAGGTAAGTACTGCTGAGAACAGATTCCAAGCCCGAGCCCCCTCGGCACTGAGATCTCACAGTATTTTGCTTGGTCTTGTGAGGGTCCTAATAGAGCAAGGGCTGCAAGTCCAGGCCTGTGGGCCGTGGATGTGACTCAGTGTTGACTTACGGCATCTCTCCTGAGGGCTTTGGTGCCAATTTTGTTTTTCTTCCTAACATCCTGCTAAGGAGCAAGTGATCAGTACTTTTGTTTTTGTCTCTCAAAGATGAAGACCTGTTGAGAGTCACAGGGTGGGTGGGAACTAGACTCCAGAACCCTCCTCTGGCTTCTTACCTGGGCAAGAATACCTTTAGCAGCTTGTCCACTGAACAGCTCGGAAACAACTGTATATCATCTAAGTTGCTTGTAGTGGCAAAGCTATCAAGGTGCTGGAAACCAAGGGAGCCGAATTAGACAAACTTAAAACTGGGCTAGATCCGATATATCAGCAAGATGTGCTGGCAACGCTGAGATGTGTCTCTAAGCTGATACTCTTTCCTGTGGCTCCCTAAGCCTGTTTGGCTAACAGGAGGGCCATCTGCATTCCTCTCTTTAGGTCTGAATTTGTCCTTGAGTGCTTTGGCCGATATGAGTTCTGGCTTCAGAGCAGCAGAAATGGGCATTTGCTATAGGTTCAAGTCTTTATCTAAATGTGCTCTGACATGCAACATCATAGGTTCCATGTTAGGTTTTTTGGAGTTTTTTTGTTTGTTTTTGTTTCGTTTTGTTTTTTTTGAGACAGAGACTCTGTCCATCCAGGTAGAATATAGTGGTGTCATCATAACTCACAGCAGCCTCAAACCCCTGGGCTTAACCAATCCTCTTGCCACAGCCTCCCGAGTAGCTGGGACTACAGG